AAGCGTATGAACACACGAGCGTCTGTGATGGCGCGGTGGCGCCTGTTATCAGCAAAAGTATCCTCATTCTCACTCAGTTTTCCATTTTTTGTCTGAGGTCATCTGTCGTGATTTGAGCTCGTATCCTTAACGATCCGAATAAACTTCCATAGTTCTTGTAACTGATAAATTGTCGCAGGTATTGTGTGTAGTTCATATACTTAATGATGTTTTATTTCCATGTTGAGCCGGCATTTTGCTAGTTCTAAGTAGAATCAATTTTTTGAAGTGTGCATACCGCATTGTCGTCTAAGAGTTGTTCTTCCGTGCACGTCTACAGAAATTGCTTTGATATAATGAATTTACCGATTCGAACACAAATTTGCACGACGGATTTTGTCTACATTAATATTTCAGGTGGGGTGTAACCGTCATTCGAACGATGTCTCTGAGTCGATTGTTTCCATCCAGGAGCTCACTCCGTCTTGTGGCGGTCCCATTTCGCGTGATCTCCACATCGCCGACCTCATGTAAGTCACGTTCATTTTCATATGCTCATCACCTTCACGGCACATTTAGTTCATATGAAAAGCAAGTGCAGCGTTAATTTTACTCGAAAAATATTCGTCGCATACGTACGGTACTTCTGAAAATTTTCATGCAAACAACGTTACGCTGAGAAGTTACGTCACAACCGTATGTTGTGTTCATTCCGTAGTAAATATCGATGTTCATCTGCATAAGAGTTTATTCAAAAGTCCTTACGAATTTGCAATTGAACAATTAACTTTCGCTTTGCAATCGAACAGTACCAGTCATCTGCTTCAATTCCAGCCGAGACATTCTCATATTTCAGCTGCTGTCGGTGGCTGGCCAGATGAGAAACCTGAAGAAATGGATAATCCGAGTTTGTGGCAAAAGATCGTTCTCCGTTTCAAAGGTCATTCTTCAGTCTGTTTCACGAGTGATTTCGTTCCGTTCACTGGATGCAGTTTGATGTTTTATTGAACACATTTGATGATGTTGACTGATAAGATGGCAAAAGACATTTCATAAGTAGTAGTGGAAAATCATTATTTCGTCGGACTTTTTTCCTTGTCAAATGCACGCTAACGATTTTGTTTCATATGTCACGAACTGAACTCAATTATTGTGTTACTTGTGATCGCATCATTGTCCTATAAAAAATTCGGGTGTTTAGGAATACCACTAAAAGGTGAGGTTCACCCACCACGGTCGATGTTCTCTGATGTGGACAAAGAGTGGTTTGCACCAAAGTCGCTTCCTGAAGTACCTCGAGATTATAAGGAATACCCGGAAAGAGATATCGTTAGTTTGTGATTCATGTTCATCTTCATTTGGTGGTGTGAGTGAGTATGAAATCAGTCTCATTGTCAGCTAATCTGAGGACGCTGCACTACCTTGTTTTATTCGTACCTCGAATCATAGAACACCAGCTACCATCCTCACTTTTTGCTTTGGACTTGAATAACCGTTGAATATCGAGCTATTCAGAGTGCATTTTTATTAGATGTTACGTGTTACGTTATGGTACTCTTTTGTTGAATGTTTCATTTTAGTTTTGTATTTTACTCACACGTTGATGTTACAGCTTTTTTAGCGTTTTTTCAGATATGTTACCATTTAGTTGAAGTAAGGAATGTGCTATGTTATGTGAGAAATAATGAATTCTAGGTAAACTTTCCTTATCCGGCACGTCGTATGTATCCTCCAAAAACTCGACTTTTGATGATCCCTGACTCATGGTGTACACCGTTCTATAAAGTCACTGGTGTATCAGGTATTTATTCATAATATTCAATGTACTGGAGTGGGCATATCTTTTAATGAAACACATAAACGGTGGTAAATGAGAATCCATCACATCAGAGGAGTAACGTAGAAGTTCATCTAACAAATGGCACCTCTTATGTTATAGCTAATTCTATCGTCTAGATTTTAAAAGTTTTTTTTTNTTTTTTTTTCAGATGGTTTCCAATAATTTTATTAGGTAGTTTTGTCGGACATCAAATCAACATGTGAGCATTAGTGCATCGCTTCATAGCTCACCAATAATTCCTTTGGAAAACTCTTAAGTAGATTTGACATTTCGAGAAATTTCGAAGTAAAACCGTTTAATATGTTTTACCTCCTACGATTTCAATGAAATTTTCCGGTGGCTTAAGATAATCCAGTACATCACCCTTTTATCTAAAGTTTATTCTTCCGGTTCATTGAAAACGGTGCAGTAAAGCGATAAATTGCAGGTCCTTATTTGTTCTTCGGTGGGATGTTCGCATTTTTACTGAATAAAGAGTTGTATGTGTTGGAAGAACAGGCTCATATGTTGTGTGGCTGGATTATTTTCTACTTACTTCTGTCGAGGACCATTGGATGTTAGTTGCTTTATGTACTAATGACTGGAACTTGATCTCTGGGCACGTTGTTCTTCTTTTCATTTTGATATTTGCTCAACTCCAAAACCGGTCACTTTATGTAGATTGTTAACGAAAACTCGAATGTCGATTACAGATCGAGTAGATAAATGGTTATATGGTGAATACATAAAGAGGATGGATCATTTCAAAGAACTGATTGAGGAGGATTTGAAGGGAGCGAGAGATTTTAGAACGGTTGGGTTCATTTCGCTGCTATTGTTGATGTTTCCTTGTATTTCTGAACGTTTTCTAACCTTCATAATCGCACTATTTCCTTACAATCATTTATTCGTCGAACCCACATGTGCAAGGTTTTAATTTGTTTCGGATTCAATAATAGAAAATCGGTATGTAGCTGAATTACAAGTATGCCAATCATCTTGTGACAAAATATCGTATGCTTTTGCAGGTTGATTCCGTTGTTCGAAGCATTTGTGTGATTTATTTGTTTCTGTTTGATATTATGTAATATTATGTAATTTTAGGCATGTGAAGCCGAATCGCAATCATTGCAAGCGATGAAAGAACGTTTTCCGATTGTGCTGAGAGAGACAATGGCACTTCAACTTGAAGCTGCCTATCGGGAGAACGTTCAAAAGGTTGCGACGGAAATGAAACGACGCATCGATTATTTGCAAGAAACAGAAGCAACAAAATCGAGATTCGAACAAGAGCACATGCTCAAATGGATCATTAATGGGGTGCGCTTACATCGTCATTTCTGAGTTTTGCGTTAAACATCGACTGAAACAGAAAATGATCACTGAATTCGGTTACATCAACTTACTTGATAGTATTAATAGTATTCATCAAGTTTTGACAAAAAATCCTAAAACAGCCAAGGTTTGGTGTTTTCACATTTGACTCTTCAATCAGATTGTTCGTTTGCAATTCTTTTATAAAGTTACTTGCGCTTCATTTGTTCATTGGGCAACCTAAATTGAATTTCTTTTATAAATTCAAGAAATTCACTTGAAGTTTCCAACAAATTACCTATTGTACATATGGAGCGTAATTCAATTTAAAAAAATGCAAACGAACAATATGATTGAAAACTTTTGGTAACCTCCGGCAAGATGATGCATTACAACGTTTGATAATCTGTATTGATCGGCATTTGATGATGCGTCAGTGTAATTGTTTCAGGCTCTCTCAGAAATCAAAGGCAACAAAGATGGAGTGAAAGACAAATATTTGGATAAATGTATCACTGAACTGAAAACATTATCCACTGCTGCAGCCTAGACATTATCATATATATCTGCTTTAGTTATGCAGTAATATATTGTACCGTTTGTCAGTATATGTAGCATCGAGACTTCTTTTGTTCTGCGTAATGTTGGTGTTCAATAGCCGCAGTTACTTATCTCATTTATATTATAAGAATGACTGTGCCTCTTCCGTGGATGGTATTTTGATTGTGACATGAAATTTGCNGTAAAAGTTCACTTCATTTTCCGTGGATAGGTGTTCGTTTGGTTCTTTTTTTTGTTTTTGAGCGACAGTTAGATTGAAGTTTCGAATATGAATTTATTAGAGTTAACATATTGCGTTTTGTAAAATTTTGAATATTTTGAAGCTAATTCGGAATAAAAGTTCAGATATTGAGAACGGTGTGAAAAATATTTCAGGAATTCGTCAATGTGTTATAAATAGTTTTATTTTTTTCTCTTTGTATGAAATAAATCACCAAAATACAAACATAGAGGTCAACAGATTTACTCGATTTCTTGAAAATGATGTTCGGAATATTAGTTCCACTGACTGAACTAGGAATAAGAGGAGGACAGCAGATTTTAATGAACACCGTTGAATTCGAACTGTTTTGTCATATCCTCGAAATGCCTATTCGATATTTGCTTGCTTTCTTTAGATATAACACAACAAAGTGATGTGGTATGAGATTTCGCCTTTTGCAGTAAAACCGCAGTGCGGTTCATTTTAAAATTTATGTGCAGTTGGAGTGTGGTAACAGTTAGAACGTGTTGTCTGTATGAATCGAGATTTTGTTGATCCATTCGTAGAGATTTTTGAAATCTAATAAGAAATAAACGTTTCTTCGCGATGGATCGTTATCACTGTTTCAAGTGATCAAAAATGTTTGCAAAAGTACTTGAACGATGAGTTATATCCACAAAAACCTCGCTTCCCACTTACAAAACGCTTGCTTTTGCATATTCAGACGTGCATCTGTTGTTGTTGCGTGGTTGTAGCTGTTACTGCCTGCTAAATGATACAATGAACGTTTATAATCGATTGAACATAGTAATTTGATCATATCTTGCACTGGGACCCGTAAGCAAATACATATACAATAC